TCTTTAAAAACAAAAACAAAAAATCATGAATGGTTTTCTAAAACTTGAGTACATTTCCAAAGGTCCCAAAACATAGAATATTTATTTAGGGCCAAAAAAAGAATTAAGCAGATAACAATATATAGGAAATCTTGAATATATTTGGGTGGTTATCCACAAAACCCTGCAAAACCCTGTGAATGTCAACACAAAATGACAGAAAAAATCAAGTTTAGTCTGCTGGGATGTATGCTCAGGGATACCATACATATATAAAAAGACTAGGAAATCCTTTCTCTACAGTAGACAATGCAGAGTTGCGGCCATTACATAAGAGCCCAAACTATAGGAAATGGGCATAAATTGTGATACAAACAAGTATTGCTTTGTTTAAAAAGAAAAGCTCTGCTTATATTTAAGTGTCATAGCAGGCTTTCAAGAGAAGTTAGTCATTCCCTGAGCTCTTACAGAAAGGCTAGTGAAGGAGACAGATCTTCCCTAGGGCCCCTTCCAGTCTGTATGCCATGATTTAATCCTTAATTCTATTCAAAAGGATATTAATTCTGTGTAAGACATTCTCCCCAGAAAAATGTTCTGCAAAATTAGCATTGGTTAAGAGACCTACTTTCTAGCTAGGTGATCCCTAACAAGGTGCTTAACCTCTCTACGCCTATTTCTCCACCTGGAAGATGAATTTTTCAGGGGATTTCATGATAATGGAGAAAACATTTGTGAGCTTCATATCACAATTCCCAGTCTTCAGCAAGTACTCAAAAGACAGAAATTATTATCACTGAAGGTAAATGAAAATTAAATCAAATTTAAATGAGCACTGAGAATAATGTCTGGCCAACAGTTAGCACCCAAGGTTAATGAAAAGGTAAGAACTGCAAAGGAAATATTAAAGCAAAACAGTTTATTTCATGTAGAAAGTACCATCGCATTTGAGGAGAAAGCATCTTTACATATACAACTCTGGATAAGTCACTGAAACCTGCATCTTCCTTTTTATACACAAAAGTAAGTAGAAATAAATTAGATGACCACAGTGTTTTCTCCAATTTTAAAGAGTCTAAATTCTAGAGAACACCAAAATTTAATAAATAGTAAAATGGTATAATACACATCATATAAAGCTCTAGTTATAAACTAGGAAATAATCAGTTCATAATGGTATGAATTTATTAGAAACTTTAAATTCACAATAAGTCTGCAGTATAAACACTATAAATGTAAGTCCTTTAATTATGCAAAGACTAATTAAATAATGAATAACTGCTATATTCAGAATTAAACCAAAACAAAGATATTTTACTTTTCATAAATTTCCCCTGTATGATTTTTCTTCTATATTTACTTTGAGTTACCCATAAGAAACACAGATTCTTGCTGGATGTGGTGGTGCATGCCTGTAATCCCAGCACTGAGGAGGCTGAGGCAGGAGGATCAAGTTCGAGGACAGTCTGGACTGCATAGCAAGACCCTGTCTCAAAAGATAATAAATAAATCCCATATACTGAATCTTAAAAATCCACATGAAAAAATTCAATGAATTCAAATTAATTCAAAAATTTACAAACCCCTTTTTTGGGGGAGCCAGAACTAAATATTTTAGCTTACTTGTGCCTGCCATTAAGTAGTTCAAAATCAGCCAACATGCCAATGATCAAATAGCTCTGGTCACTTTCCAGCACACATTCTGTATGGACAGTGAAATCTGAATGTTGTACTGTTTTCAGGTGTTATGAAATATTAATTGTCTTTCTAATTTTTAAATTTGCCACTTAAGATGTAAAAGCCATTTTTAAATTATGGATTGTATAAAAAGAGGCCGTGCTCGGGACTTAGTCCTGGACCATACTTCGCCAATCCTTGCTGTAATACTTTGGGAAAGAGAGGGGTAATGTAGGAAATCTGCAAGGAGCAGGGTGCTCCTTTGATGTTTTCACCAGTGGGTGTGTGTTTGTTTTTCTGTATTGGCTCCATGTTCCCTTAATTGGGCTTCCACTACAAACATTCACCCTCTCTCCATCCCTGCAGCAAGGGCCTCAAGATCAGCATAGCTAAGGGAAGCCTGACACCTTGTGGTTGTACTGCAAATGCCAGGTGTCCCTTGGAAGGCACCAGCAAGCAGAACCAGTGGGCAAGGATGACCCCAGGAGGGAGACAGCACCCAGCAGGCTAGTGAGGTAAAGAGCCAGCACCACTCCGCAGCAGTTTGTTGTTATTGTCATTGTTGTGGTTGTTGATGAAATGAAGCAAAATGAAGTCCAGAGTTCACTAACTTCTCTCTCCAAAGGGAAGTTCCAAAAGGTTCTTCTTGGGTGGTATTTCTATCAAAAAAAAAAAAAAAAAAAAGCAGTTTTCAGAGCCTTCCCAACTGTATGATGACAGTCCAGTTTTTCCTGTCTGCATAAGTCTCCATATGTATCATTCATACACATACAGCCAGGAGGAAAGAAGCAGACACAGCAGATACCACCACCCCACCACCACCTCTTGTCAGCTGCTCACAATGGAGAAAGAAGGTAAAAGCAGAGGCTACAACTGCTATTGAAAATCAATTTCATTCTGGGAAAGGGCAAATACAGGATTTCAAGACAGCAAAGACACATGACTAAAGTGTCACACCGTCCTGGAGAACATGGGATTCCTCCTTGTCTGTGCAGGTCAGTCTGTCCCAGGGTTATTATACTGTTGTGCTGCCATGAAGATTTTGGCTCATTTCAGTAAACAAAGAGGAGGACATTTTTCCATTCCCCTACTTGTAAGAGCCCGATGCGTGGAAAAAAAAAAAAGTCCTAGACTCAAATTCTTCCTACACCATACATTATGTAGAGTAGAATATTCCATGGCTGGCTGGTTTGAGATATCTATCCTTTTGTCAAATTCACAACCAACCTTTTCTATTGACAGAAAACAGAGAGTAATTTGGCTGGCCTGTCCCTGAGTTCTACAGTAACCGAAGAACTTCTGTGGCTGCAAGAGCCCCTCTTTGAAGATAAGAAGTCCTGAGTGTCTCACATGTCATGCTGAAGCTCCATAGCTACCCAAAGGGGGCAGGTGATAGAAGCAAGCATGACCTGGACTGTCTGCACCCCAGCATAAGCAAAGAGCTGGGTGGCTGGGGATGGCAAAAGACCTAAAGGCCTTGGTCCTGGGAATTCCAAGGGATCTTCCAGCTTCAGAGAAAGGCCATGGGAATGGGGTGGCTAGGTCTGGAGCCCTTACCTAGAGGATTCCGGATCCAACCTAGCCCTAAGCCATTGAAGGCTACCACGGGATGCAGATGCTGACCTTTGTAGTCTTGAGACCCTGTCGTCCTCCTTCGCCTGCGTTTCCACTGCCACCCTTTTCTCCAGGGGAAGTGGCAGTGTGGGGCAAAACATATCAGCCCCATACACACTTGTACCTGGAGCGGTGTGCAGTGCAGTGAAAGGGGACCTGCCACCCTTCCTGAAGTCCTTGGGGCTGTCTGCCTTACAGTAACTGGCAGTACTTTAAGGTAGAAGACAACAGTCTTTACAACTTGAGACCTGCTTTCCTGCTGGGGAACTGCTAGCTTCCTGGGTTGATACTGCCTGCTGCCACCACACTGCCGGTAGGTTCTTGCTGTGCCCCACCAGCCAGGGAACACACAGGTCCTTGGTCCCTTCAGCTGGATGGGGCTTTTTAGGCTGTGTGGAGATTTTTTGTTTGTTTGTTTGTTTGTTGTGTGGACCGCATTACTTTAGTATGACTTTTTCCATCTCTCACTTGTATTTTACAGTGAAAAGTTCTGGGAGCATCTCTGGAGACTGCTTTCTCCTGAGGTTTTTAGACCTCGGGGGTAACACCGCAGAAATAAGAATGTTGTCCCTCCAAGGGCCGTTTCAGCATCATAGGAGTTAACGTGGGTCCTCACCTAAAGGGGAAGGAGAAAAAGATTGGAGTTGACATTTAATGGGAGAGGGGGTGGCCACGGGTCTGGCTGACTCCTGATTGGTTTTACATTTCTTCCGATCTCTCTCTCTCTCTCTCTCTCTCTCTCGTCTCTTTTTCAGTTTCTCTCTTTGCCCCCATGGGAGGGGAAACGGGAATAGTGAGAGATCAAAAATAAACCTCTTATGTCAAAGCCGGGAAGGAAGTATAAATACGAAGGGCTCGGCAGCCCACTCTGCGCTGTCCGAACCGGGGAGGAGACAGGAGGCGCTGTGCGGGGCCGACACGCGCGGCTGGGGCGAGGACGGGT